TTTCAAGATTATTGCAAAGAAGAGAATATTCAACATGTTACCATCACGACGGGTGTACCAAGAGGAAATGGACAGGTAGAAAGACTACATAGGACTATTTTGGCTGTGTTGACCAAGTTGTGTATAGAACATCCATCATTATGGTACAAGCACATCAGCCGAGTGCAGAGGGCTATAAATAGTACCTACCAGCGTAGCATAGACACGACTCCATTTCACCTGATGGTTGGTATAAACATGAGATGTAAAGAAGACCTGGAAATATTGGATTTACTAAGACAAGAAGAGATTGATCAATATGATGAACAGAGAGAAGACATTAGAATGAAAGCTAAGCAGCAAATACTTCAGGTACAGGAGGAAAATAGGAAGACTTTCAATGAGAAGAGGAAACCAAGTTCTCAATACAAAGAAGGAGATTTGGTGGCCATAAAGAGGACTCAGTATGGACCGGGTTTGAAGCTGAAACCTAAGTATCTAGGACCGTACCGGGTGACGAAGGTTAAGCGGAAAGATCGTTACGACGTAGAGAAGGTGGATACTGCTGCTGAAGGGCCTAATAAGACGTCCAGCTCAGCTGATCAAATGAAGCCGTGGCCTAATTAGGTAAAGTATCTTGCTATTTAAATAAGAGGTGATGAATGAAAGGATTTGTAAATTAAAAACCATTTTTATTACGATTGTTACGGTCATTCATTATTGTATATTTTATTTCACTAAAATGTAAAGTTTATTGTAGTTCATGTTTCACTAACTGATTTGATTAATTATAAAGATGAACAATATTACAGTTTTATAAACATTGGTGTGTTTAGAACTTTAATATCTTAAGACTTGATATTGAGTAACCTGAAATTAAAGATTTCAAATTATTTCTATGAGATTAATAAATAAGATGATGTACACTATTTTAAGATGTAAAGCGTTTAAGACTAAGTTGAAAGATTGATTTATAATAAGATGATAACTGTAAAATGTGTAAAAGTGTAAAATGAGATGTGTACTATGTAAGGAGTCAAAAATCTAAAATGTTAAGGATTTCATGTAAATTGTATAAGAGTAGTTTACCGTTAGATGTTTATTTAAGTAGTTATTTTGAAAGTTTGCTTTGTGTAAGAAGCTAAATGTAACATAGAGTTTAAATTTGGAGCTATTGGATGCTTGAGTAAGTTTTTATTTACAAAGTTAGCTATGTACAAAGTTTAAGATGTTAGGAGATGTAACTAAAGTTTAATGAGTTGAGTATTTACAAAGTTTAATGATGTTTAATGAAAGTTAGTGTTTGTAGCCTAAGATTGTCTGAGGACAGACAAAGACAGGATTGCCGAGAGTGTAGGATTGTAACATCTATGGGTAAATACTCTATTGTCTTAAACTCTTTGGATGAACGATCGAGTGTGAGCGAGACGAATGTACGGTGAGTGAGTGAGAAGGAAGGAAAGGGGTCATGGCGGTAAGACGGTTATGAGTAAGTGTGGCTCTGTATTTTATAAAAGAAGATTATACATATTGTTGGAAGAAACTGATTTTCCTTGCGAAGCCCCGTCCCTACATACATGAGATAGAAATATTGTTAGAAGGGGTTAATTAAGAGCATTATACACTCACAAAAATTGATCGATGTTATGTGTGAAAACAAGCAAATGTCACCTAAACATTATATATATTTTCTATAATTTTTTTCTCAATTTTGGGCTTTAAATTCGTACAAGTTCCAATTACTTAAATACTTCCTATTCCAGTACTGCTTCTGGACACTAATGTTACCTTTCTATTTTGTGTTAGCTAATGTTATGTGGAGCGCTGAGAAGAAGCAGCGCAAGATTTTTTCCATCGATATTATTTCTGATCGATTGATCCACTAACATTCGACAACACTACTACAGGGCAGTTGCCGGATTCTATTGAAACTCTTTAATTGGACAACTTGTTAAAAATGTTTTCAGTTCGGTTTTTAATCGAAATGTCGCGATTTCGTTAACTTCATTTTTTAGTAACGCAAAAGTTATTGTGATCAGATTTTAGTTTGTGTTTAAAGCAAAAATTGTTGTAGTTTTATCGCATCAAAATTACAATTAAGTACGATTTCTTAAAAACTGTTTTTTTTAATCTATTAGTAAAAAAACTGACTTGGGTATAAACTATAATATTTTTTATTTGTAGATTCGCGAAGGTTCTAGCGTCAATCGATCGAATTACCAGATCGATGTCAGTCACATGCGTCCGCGCATGATCGACACTTGACACAATCGACCTCCAGCGACAACTTCGATTTAAACAGTTTGATTGATCACTATAATTCATTTGACGAGACGTGGGTAAAAATAAAAACTGTGGTTACAGATTTAGATCTAGCATCATCATTAGATCATCATGATACACATAATACTATTATGGTAAATATGAGTAGGTAAGATGTAGTTTTTTTAAGCTTATTTTTTGAAAACTTTTGAGACAAAGTAGTAGATAGACGTTTGCTAAAGTTATTTTTTAAATGTTAGAGTACACGAGTAACTTAATGTCCATAGGATCCATTGATTTAAGTAATTAATTCTTAGGTAATCTTGAAATTTTAGTACGTGTGTAACGAAGAATTGATTAGTGGCAATTCTTTGGTCGAAAAGTGTCCCTACTGGACTCACAGGAATTAAGTAGGAGAGACTTTTGGCCACAATACTATGGAAAATATCGATTATTATCTCTAGTCTCTATCGATTGGAAAGTTCCAATGAAAGTTGAGCTTTAAGACGACAATCAGCTGGACGTTAACAGAAATATTAGTTCTAAGCACACGAAAAATACAAAATCGTCGAGAAACTATAGTAGTAACAGATCGTAGCCAGACTGTTGTTTTACATCCCGTAAAGCCAATTTCACACCGCACGGAGGAAGCACTTTTAAAGAGCGTCTGCTCGCACAATGCGATGACACTCGCACTTCAAGCACAAAAGCCTTTCATGGCGTCGTCTGCGACGTGCGAGTAGGGCCACCATTTGGTTTGGATAGGTAAAGCCTAAAAGAAATTCAGGACATTTCGGACGGAATTCATTGAATAAGTTACTGTAGAGCAAACGCCACTGTGGTTTAGTTAGTCTAAATATCTAGTCTGCATCCAAAAACAATATTTCTGCTTAGATTTTCCCTAATTAACGCTAGTAGAATACGACCAGACTTACGTCATTATACCTAATTCTATTTTGAACCAAAACTGATATAAAGATGACTTTGTACAGTCACGGAATGAAAAGGTTCGTCAGTTTTGAAATTGATTCATTCAACGTATCGCGAGCACATATTACCTTTTGAAACTTTGTTACAGAATAATCTCGAGTTAGAGAAAATAGTATTTAACTGTTCGTCAGTAAAGTTCAAAATTATTTAGATCAAAGTTGTTTGACGATTTAACTTGTCAAGAATATTATTATGATTGATAAAATAAAACCTTCTTGTTGGTTCAACCTGCCATTATCTATTAAATAAAAAAACTACATTTTGTAACATTGCACTGATGAGATAGAAAAATAAACAAGCAAAACCTTATTCGTCAGCAAACGTCATATTTATTTAAATGTTAGCAGCACTGTTTCTTGCACGGTTATGTTGGCAGGTTTGACTCTTTCTTACAGTACCTATTGCAAGCGAAAACCGACACTAAGGTGACGAACCTTTTCATTCCGTGACTGTACAAAAACATTAGTATTATTTAGAAGTATAATATATTTACAATAACGTAGTCTTTTAAAGAATAGGCGATTTTGTTGTTTGAGAACAACTCTTTAAAAGTAAAGCCTAAGTTTGGATTGTGGTTTGGATGTGTCCGGAAAAATACGGACGCGGATAAACCCTACACAAGTCCTGACAAAGACTAGTGGAGCTACTCCGAAAAACTATTTCCAAAGACTGGGGTATAATCGGTCTCTTTCACTCATCCCTAGATGTCTGCGCGAGTGAAGGAGATAAGGAGAGTCAGTATATTAAATACGTTTTTGAAATAGACCTCCTACACGCACAGTGGATGCCAGATAGTTCACGCGTGTGAAGATGGTTTTGACTTAAGAGTTTTAAGGTGAAAATGCATTATTGGATTTTAGGCTTTACGTCAAAGTATTTTAAATTGGGTCCTGGTAAGGGAAATCGCAACCCAACAAAAGGGAAATAGCGCCTCCAGGGATCCCATTGTATCAATTTCCGTAAGGTTTAAAATCAGGTAAATAGTTATCCATACTTGGAATGTAGTAGATGCTGTTCGTTCACTGTAATTCATAGTCGTTTCCTTCTTCTATAAGACTTATATTGACGTAAACAAATAAATCGACACCCTTGCACGTGCAACCAATATTTATTGTAAAACGATTCAACTTATTCAAAACTAGGACTAGGACCAAATGCTGACAGTTCGAAACTTCCTAGTTCACGGACAACTTTATTCGACGTCTGGCGAGTTCGAGTGAAAATTTCATGAGTTATTACGGAATCGCACGCTATTTATCGAGCGATCAATTCGAACGATAAATATCTGTGATTAGTGAAACAAGCATGCTTGTCATCGTTTGTTAATAGAACATCAGGTTATAATTCGTCGTACTTTTTAGATTTCTGTTCGCAAATGCTGGTGCTTAAAAAGTATCGACCGTGGTTATTCGAGTGTGACACTGACAAGTACCAAGTAGGTATAATTTACTGTTACCTGCCAAGTTATACAAAGTTTATTGGAAGTGTTTGTGGAAATCAGTTTTTGTCAAAGTCAATCATTACTGTCGGCAGCTACTGAAAAACTAGTGATGTATTATTATTTAACAGGCCCATTTACAAGAATGTACCTCTACATGCGACACGTTTTTTAGGTGGTAACCATATCAACAATCAAAAACTGGAGCGACTTTTTTGCCTGCACTGCTCGAATGCAGGTTTGTTAGTAAAATAAAATTGCGCGAACATTCGCGTGATTGCGAACATTCAATATTTGGCGACATTTCTCTCTCAATTTGATAATACATCCCCATGAACTGCCAGTTCGCAGTTTACTGGGGCATCACTTAGCGAGTGGAATTAATTAGAATAAGGTGCGAGGCGAGCCACGGTCGTGACGGAGATAGGTGATACGACATGCATCTTGGACAAGTTAAATGAATATTTGTCATTGTTGTAGATTGTGTTTGTGTTGGTACAGTTCAAAGATTCAATAGGTAGGAACTAGTATCTCTAGCTCTACTTAAGTCATACTGTACCTAAATAAGTGGAATTTAGCACACATAGATAGGTACTGTTAATTTCTTTATATTTTGCGAAGGCTAATTTTCAATCAAAATAATATTTCCTGAATAATATTATAAATAAGCTATATCTCATTAATTCCACACACTATGATTTCATATTATGACTTACATTTTCTTAGAACCCTAATAAATTGCTGAAAATAATCTGTTTTGCGGTATTGAATTTATGCACATACCTACCTACACTATACGTATATCAGCATAATTGTCACACAGCTGTCAGTGCTTGAGCAACTGCTTTATTCAAAATTTCCTCAAATTCGAGCTACAAAATGGTCACGGAAAATGCGAAATTTACCGTGTGGAAAAAAGACAAAAAAACTAGGTTGAATTTCGTCACACTGTCACAAGAGGAGCGCAAAGGCCTGCGTTGAATGCTCTTTGATCCAAACCCTCGCTTTAAATTTCGCGCGCATTTGGGATACCTTCTCGCTTTGAAGATAAAATATTAGGAGTGCTTTTGTTTTAATCGAGAGTGCAAAGGGAATTCTCACTGGCCAGCAATATTCTCGAACTAAAGCGTAAAATAAGGAGAACTATTCTCTCTCATTTTGTGCCTGAAGAATGGACGTGGATCTTTACCAACTCATCTTTTTGAAAATTGCAATATTGCAGCAAAATTTAAAATTGTAGAAGTCAAATCTTAGACTCTTTGACTCATTGTATTGAAACTTTGTAACTAACCCAGTAAACCACTACAGTTGCTTGTATGAATAAATAATAAGTAGTTAAAAGTTTGACATACTGCTGAGCTGATAACTAGAGGTGCAGAGTAGAGTGGAGGAGACAGTAAAAATAATAATAATCTTACAGCAACATTACGGCAAAATACTTTCGCATTATACTTCTTACCACGTGAAGGTACCCTGTTGCGCATTAAACCCGTCTCAAAACAATTGAAAGAGCCACAACAAAGAACGCAAGCGTTCTAGGCTCAAACCAAAAACATTCCTGACATTTCCAGCTTGGAATTTGTGAAAAATGGCCACGACTTGCACTCCGCCCTAAGATAGGCGCGGGATAGTGTTGTATCCCCGCACCGGGAATCGGGATACAAAGCAGAAATGTATTAACGCGCGGCGAAGCGAAAAATATGAAGTCAAGCGCGGAGTGAGCGACGCCATTCTATTAAATTATATTTGTATGTTTGCGAAGTTTACGCTCCTCTAATAGCATAATATTTTGTGAAAAGAAAAATTGGCTGTAGAGCGAGATAAAGAACGCTACTTCACGTTTCTCGGTTTAGTAGTATAGACGCGTGGTTGATTTTTTTACGTTTAGTTTTTATTTTTTGTCATATTCAAGTAATAGATCCTGCTAGGATACAAACAGTGATGAATAAAGGGTACTTTTTTTGTTTCTAATTTTCTACACATTAAGTAACATATAAGTATACATACTTTATGAACGCGCTTGTGCATGAAGTTTAATTTGATAAAAAATGATTGAAAAAACAAAAGATTTGCTAAAATAAATAAAAACTTTGATAAACGGAAAACGACATAGACAACCAAGTAGAAAGTAAGTGAATAACAAAATTAGTTTAACAAGTAACGGTTAAACATTGTAGTAACGATGTTAACAGTAATTCGTGGTAATTGTGTATTACCATACAAAATCCGCGCGGAAGTTATAATTAACAAAGACATTTTTATATTCAAGCTGTAATCTATTTAATTACACGGGACATTGTATGAAATTTTATTGTTGTTACAAAATAATACGTTAAGTTACTGCACACAAGCTTCATTATTCAGCTTATAAAAAGATGTGATGTGACACTTGTTATAATTGATTTTGCACGTATGTTATAATTAAATACAAATTGTGTGTTGTGTACATGCAAACCTTTGGATAAAAGTTTATTGACCCGACGGTTAAACCGTTTTACCAACGAAATACATAACTCAGTTTTGCATTATGTACCTACTTATATTTTGTTTCCTTTACATTCTGAAGTATTTATGTAGATCCGGTCAGTCAAAAATCCAGTTACGTACTTTCATTTCCTTTAAAAGAATAAAATGTGTAAGTAAAGATTTCCTAGAAACGTACCTACGTGCGTACGTTGTGCCGTCAATATGTAATTAAAAATATTACAGTCCGTTACAGAATTCCGATTTCTCTTACTGTGTTGTCTGTAGACTTTAGACAGCCAGATAATTATCATGGAGAACGATAAACTCATCTAAAAACAATGTTTTCACTTGCGAAAAACGGATCGATCTTAATAAAGAAAATCGATATGCTATATCTCGCAAGTAGAACAAACTCGCTCGCGTACAAGCGATTAATTTAATAACAAAGCAGGTGCGCACGCGCCGCTAATGCAAAGGTATTTAGATCTGCAATCTTGAGCAAATTGCCGGTTTACTATTGCATACCGTCAGCAGTCCACATTAAAACGCATTTAAATGGGAAGTTTTATATGGTAATATTAAGAATGCTTTGGTGCACTTTTATAGTACCTATGCTATAATAATTGGATAAGTGGTTGAACCACTCTTTTTACGACATGACGTTTGCAAAAAACTATTGTAAATTGACAAAATTATAGTTTTCGCTGACAGTTTTGTCACAGTCACAGGTGTTAAGTTAATTAACATGTCATCATAAAGGTTTACATATAACTGCTACGATATCTGGGGGCACGGCAGTGCCCCCACCAAGTCGAGCAAAAAAGCGGCACGGCCGTACCATCCTTTTCTCGAAGCAATTCAGGCCATTTTCGACCGCCTGTAACTTCGTTGTGGATAAAACTAGAAGGCTGAATTTTCATTAGCTATGCAGGCATTGTAAAGACACGGTATATTTAAAATTTTATTCAATTTGAACTAGTATTTTAAGAATTATAACGGGTCAAAGTTACTTAATTTTGTCACTCACTGACTGTATAAACATGAGATGTAAAGAAGACCTGGAAATATTGGATTTACTAAGACAAGAAGAGATTGATCAATATGATGAACAAAGAGAAGACATTAGAATGAAAGCTAAGCAGCAAATACTTCAGGTACAGGAGGAAAATAGGAAGACTTTCAATGAGAAGAGGAAACCAAGTTCTCAATACAAAGAAGGAGATTTGGTGGCCATAAAGAGGACTCAGTATGGACCGGGTTTGAAGCTGAAACCTAAGTATCTAGGACCATACCGGGTGACGAAGGTTAAGCGAAAAGATCGTTACGACGTAGAGAAGGTGGATACTGCTGCTGAAGGGCCTAATAAGACGTCCAGCTCAGCTGATCAAATGAAGCCGTGGCCTAATTAGGTAAAGTATCTTGCTATTTAAATAAGAGGTGATGAATGAAAGGATTTGTAAATTAAAAACCATTTTTATTACGATTGTTACGGTCATTCATTATTGTATATTTTATTTCACTAAAATGTAAAGTTTATCATAGTTCATGTTTCACTTACTGATTAATTATAAAGATGAACAATATTACAGTTTTATAAACATTGGTGTGTTTAGAACTTGAATATCTTAAGACTTGATATTGAGTAACCTGAAAGTAAAGATTTCAAATTATTTCTATAAGATTAATAAATAAGATGATATTATTATGCACTATCTTAGATGTAAAGTGTTTAAGACTAAGTTGAAAGATTGATATAATAAGATGATAACTGTAAAATGTGTAAAAGTGTAAAATGAGAGGTGTACTATGTAAGGAGTCAAATGTTAAGGATTTCATGTAAATTGTATAAGAATAGTAGTTTACCGTTAGATGTTTATTTAAGTTTTTATTTACAAAGTTAGCTATGTATAAAGTTTAAGATGTTGTTGTTAGGAATTAATGTAACTAAAGTTTAATGAGTTGAGTATTTACAAAGTTTAATGATGTTTAATGAAAGTTAGTGTTTGTAGCCTAAGATTGTCTGAGGACAGACAAAGACAGGATTGCCGAGAGTGTAGGATTGTAACATATATGGCGTAAATACTCTATTGTTTTAAACTCTTTGGATGAACGAACGAGTGTGAGCGAGACGAATGTACGGAGAGTGAGTGGGAAGGAAGGAGAGGGGTCATGGCGGCAAGACGGATATGAGTAAGTGTGGCTCTGTATTTTATAAAAGAAGAATAAACATATTGTTGGAAGAAACTGATTTTCCTTGCGAAGCCCCGTCCCTACATTAANTAATTTCATGTTAGACCTATTATTTTCTATGACTAATAATGAAATTTTACACCTTAACTACATTATTTGATTGAAGGTGCCTATTTCTGTGTTAATAACACGGTTATCAATATTATTTTTAATATAATTAGTAGGGTATAATGTGGTATCAGTGATAACACCCTCGCTAATCTCCCCCTATTTGTTAGAAGGGTGCGTTTTTACACCTCTATGTACGGTTGGCAAACAAGATTGTAATACACTAGCTGTGTCCGTGACTTTGTTTAATGCCTCGTTTATATAAATAGAGTAAGGAACAAAATTGGGTTGAGTAAGGAAAAAATAATGAGTGGGTTGAGTTGTCGTGGGTCGAATACGGAATAACCCTATAAAATGTTATCAATTTAACGTGAGAGTTGTCACAATGTCGTTCTTACGCACCACAATCTTTAAAATCTCCGAATCAACTTGATGCAAATATTAGATCCCATCAAAAACAATACTTGTCAAAAAAACCAAGTCTCGCAACTCAGTTGTTCTACGGTAAAAAGTTGTGAGATCCATGTAATACCAAGTCCAGGCCAGGAAATCTTTAACGTTTTACATAAATATATTGACTTGGCCATCGCATGAAAACCCGTGTAAATTAAATTATTTAGTGCGATATGGCCAAGTCAATAATTTATGTAAAACGTTAAAGATTTCCTGGCCTGGACTTGGTATTACATGGATCTCACAACTTTTTACCGTAGAACAACTGAGTTGCGAGACTTGGTTTTTTTGACAAGTATTGTTTTTGATGGGATCTAATATTTGCATCAAGTTGATTCGGAGATTTTAAAGATTGTGGTGCGTAAGAACGACATTGTGACAACTCTCACGTTAAATTGATAACATTTTATAGGGTTATTCCGTATTCGACCCACGACAACTCAACCCACTCATTATTTTTTCCTTACTCAACCCAATTTTGTTCCTTACTCTATTTATATAAACGAGGCATTAAACAAAGTCACGGACACAGCTAGTGTATTACAATCTTGTTTGCCAACCGTACATAGAGGTGTAAAAACGCACCCTTCTAACAAATAGGGGGAGATTAGCGAGGGTGTTATCACTGATACCACATTATACCCTACTAATTATATTAAAAATAATATTGATAACCGTGTTATTAACACAGAAATAGGCACCTTCAATCAAATAATGTAGTTAAGGTGTAAAATTTCATTATTAGTCATAGAAAATAATAGGTCTAACATGAAATTACAATATTACGTACACACAATGACTTAATCATTAATGTTAAAGGGAGAACATAAAATTATTGAGAATGGTGTGTATTTGCAGAATAAAAGGTGTTTTGAAATGCCACTGGCCATAAAATGAGTTTTCTAATAAAAATGTTCAGCTGATCTTTGAAATACACTGACAGATGCACTAAAGGGCAGAAATAATGCTAGGTTCTGTGGGCACATTATAAACTGCTGTTACAGTAATGTGAAAAGACGTTTTGAATAAAAATGTTGGCTCAGTTTGCTGGCAAGCAGCCTAAAAAATAAGTAGCAATAAATAAGGTCAATGAACCCGAAGATCTAAGGACTTTTGTCTAGTCTCATAGTATGGTAAACAAGGGCGGTAATTTCAAATATGCTTTTCCTATGCTGTAAGTAACTTGCTGAAGTAACGTATTCGCAGTTTCTGCCAAGTGGATTTTTGGCGATGATAATAAATTTAAGCACTTTATGTTTGAGTTGAGATAACTGATATTTCGCAATACGACGACTAACCCTTATTATGTACTTGTTAGACAAATAAATTACGCACTTAATTTGGTGTTATTAAGAAAAATTAGGCTTTAAATATGATGAGGCCAACGCAATTTTGTATAAGCCTCATCTAATGTTTTACAATAATTAAATTGTAATTATAATCATGATTAATTTAAAGAGCCATACATGAAGAGAGTATATTCTTCGTATGCTGCACGTCACCTGGGGTTTGATTCTGCTGTCGCGCGCCTCCATTCTTGGTGAAATACTAGTTTTTCGAGCTAGTTTCCGATAAGGAACGAAAGCTACAAGGCGAAAATACGGTCTTCGCTGTCAGGGATGGGAACTTTCACGATAATATTAGTAAAACCGAAGATAACATTTTAGGAAACTAAGTCCATACCTACCTAACTAATAAGCAGTGCAATGAGAAAGTTAAGGTTTTCATACTTGTAGCGCTCATACGATTGCTTATAAATCACTGTCACTTTGAATTACAAGAAGGGACAGCATAATAAAGAAGACATTTTTTGAGTGCAAATAATTTTCACGCGGAATAATTCGTATACGAAATCCTACACCAACACAATAGTTGCGAATACTTCAAAAATACGTTCGTGATAGGCAATTTTGTTTTATAAATGCTCTCGAGGCTTTAACTTAAAAGTTGCCATGTACATAATTTAAAGTCAATTATCATCAGTTTATAAAATAAATTGTAACTACATTCCCTTTGTCCTTTGTACGGTAACCCTACAAAGTGCGCGAGGCAGTCCATCCATCATGATTAAACATCTCCAGGCTAACGGGAACGGGAGTCTAGAGTCGAAACACCTGACATTTGTCATTGTGAGGTAAAGCCACTACTGACTTGGCCACTGGAAGTTAAAATGATGTAAGTAGATGAACAAATTGTGAAAAAATGGTTTGTTAAAGTAACTACTACTTATAGGTAGCACTAAGTTAGTTCCCAAGATATGGGGAGGCATGGGAGGGTGTTTTTGAGACATCAAACGTCAACGGGACTTCAGATTCGTATGCTCTATCACATCACATCTCACATGCCGGTCCCATACCTCAAGCAATGACTTAGTTAAGAGCTAGACATATACTTATTACTATGAACTTAAGTGAGATACTTATACAAAGGAAAAAACAAAAATCAAACCCGTAGTTAAACGAAGAAGCACATCGTTAGAGAGAAAACATGTGCAAGTAAAACTAATAAGGCCATGCAAAATATAACGAGCGCCAACAATAAAAAAGCTATAAATACGTACATTAACTTCTTCATATATTTCCTTCGCGCTGTTAGCAAGGTGTACGTTTCCTTCGGCCCGCCCGAGGGCAAATATTTCATCTTCACTACTTTCGACTTCATTCGGCGATACCCGTACTTTCGAGTTCGAGAAAATTCGATTTTTCACTTCAAAAGTCCGAACTGTCCACTCACACTAACCCCGCACCGGTCGTTTTGTTGCAGGCCTAAAATTAAAAGAAAGAAAAATAAAGAACTACCGTGTATTTACAAGAGGTTACCACAACCATTTGAAATCCACAAGCGAGCAAATCAAAATGAGTAATGAGGAAAAGATATTTAATAATAATAATAAATCATAATATTTTCAACATGGGATATACTGAATCATGCAGAATTAAGTTCAACAGAAATAACAGGGATAAGGAAACGAGGTTAAATATCAAAAATACGAAGCAGAAGTGCAAAACATGCTAATAATTAAAACTACAAGTGAGTAACACAAACAACATGCCTTAATTTAAACATACATGGTGGAAACGATAAGTGACTCGATTATTTCTAAACTATACAAGATATACTGATCCTGAAAGTGCTTCAAGAGATCTATCAAACGGTATCAATAATAGGTTACAGAATATAACGAGTGGAAGCTGGAAACATTGAATTTTCGAATAGATCCAGTTTATTCTGTAACCTATTATTAATATCGGTCGAAAAAGCTCGGATAGTACTTTCAGGATCAGTAAACAGTTTTTCGATACCTTGTATAGTTTAGAGATAATCGATTGAGATCACTTATCGTTTCCACCCTGTATAATATTACCTATTTCACACAATAGGAGGCCACACCAAAGTGCATATAAACAATATTAATTGCAATAAGAGGTGCAGGATATAAGACAGACAATCACTTCCTCTTAAACAATAGATTGAAATTAAAGCAGGGGAATTAATAAATAACTAATCGACGGTATTTATTGCTACTTTGTAATTAGCCATCATTATCAAGCACTATTTTATGCTAATGCTCTTGAATATTATAATGTTAACAGTGAATTATGTTCCGATAGGCCATACCAAATAGGTTAGCTACATTTCGTACTGAACGCAGTTAACATTAGAGAACAAAAAAATACAAAGCAAAATCTTCTCAAATTTTTATAAACAGTAAACTAGATCTTACACGATATCTCATACTAATGCTATTATCTAAATTCGGTGGTAATAAAGTTTGAGATAATGTGAAAAGATTATCACAAACAACGGAAGCTCATGATCTGATATTGTTTAATGCTCGTGTGAAGAAGATACTGAATTTGAAAAATGATGGTCAAGTTCAAGCTACAAATTAAATTGTAGTTCTCAATTACAAAAAAATCTT